TTGTTTGTCTGTTTTTAGATAATAAGTATGAGTGTTAGCGAGAAACGTGTTCGTTGTACAATTAAATCTACCCTAAGCGAACTTCCATACGCGAATGTTGATATTATTAGAGCTCATGGACAGTTTAATAACATTCTCAACAGTGACTTACCGACCAAGAAGTACTTAGACAAACTTCATAGTATTTATGATTTAGATTTGTTTCGCTTAAATACCGAATCAACATTAAATCCCGACAGAAACTTAAGCATGCAACAAATTAGATGTAAATATTTCTCACCCTATAGTTTTTCTATGTTTAAAGAGTCTTTGTTGGAATCAGATAGTCAAGGTCCTTTCTCTATGCTTCATACTAACGTAAGAAGTTTGCGGAAAAACATTGATAATTTTCAAGTCCATCTTTTAGATGAACTTGACTACCAATTCAGTGTAATCGGTATTACAGAAACAAAAATTACAAATTCATCTGGGCTAGATTTCAATGCCTGCATACCAAACTATCAGTTTGAATATGTCCCAACACCTCTATCATGTGGAGGTGTTGGAATGTACATTAATAATTGTTTGAAATATAAGGTTCTGGAGAGAACATCTAAAGACGCTTTTCAGGCTTTATGGATCGAAATTGAATCCCTAAAGAGTAAAAATATCGTTTGTGGAGTGATTTATAGGCAGCATAATGATCCGGAACAATTCCTCCAATATGTTGACTTTACTTTAGAAAAACTTAGCTCCTCTGATAAAGTTGTTTATCTTATGGGCGATTTCAATATTGATCTCCTCAAATCTGAAATTTCCGATTACTCCCAAAATTTTTTGTTATCTTTACAATGTTATTCGTTCTTCCCGGTAATTGATAAACCATCTAGAGTCTACAATAATTCTGCCACACTCATTGATAATATATTTCTGAATAGATTTGATCATAAAATTTCAGGTGGAAATATCGTGTCAGACATTAGTGATCACTACTCCCAATTTTGTTTTATCCACAGTCTTATACCAAAAAATTTTACTGCTAAACATAAAATTCGCGATTATTCCAACTTCTCTGAAGAATGCTTTATTAATGATGTCTCGGATACTGATTGGGATAACTCAATGACATATGGATCTGTAGACAAATGCTTTTCTTCCTTTTACAATAAATTTAACAAGCTCATTAATAAACACGCTCCTCTCAAAATTTTATCTAGGCGCAAGGCTAAACAATTTTCCAAACCGTGGATAACTAAGGGCCTACGTAAATCTATCAAAATAAAGAATAGACTTTTTTACTCAGGAGATAAATCAAAATATAAGCTGTATAGGAATAGAATTGTTAGTCTTTCTCGTCTCAGTAAAAGATTGTATTATGAAGCTTACTTCACTACAAATCTAAGAAATGTTAAAAAAACGTGGGAGGGGATTAATGAACTATTGAACAGACAGCGTAACAAAAAAACAGTATCAGCCCTTCAACGCTCTAACAACTCTGGAGTAACACAAAATCCGTCTGAAATAACCAATATCTTTAATCAGTACTTTGCGTCTATTGGACCGCGGCTTGCACGCAATATATCACCTTCCAGGATAAATTTCCAGGACTACCTTGTCGGCACTAATCACTTTAAGTCTTTCTTTTTTGATCCCGTCGTTCCATCCGAGGTGGACTTGGAAATCTTGGCTATACCCAGTAATAAAGTATATGGCCTATATTCTTGCCCGGTTCATCTTCTAAAATCTGGGCGCCATATCCTTTCTTCACTCTTAGCTGCCATGATGAATAAGTCTATCTCAACGGGTATTTATCCCCATCTTTTGAAGCATGCCAAAGTAATTCCTATCTACAAATCGGGAGACGAAACTGATCCATGTAATTACCGCCCAATTTCCCTCCTTTCTGTCTTCAATCGATTATTTGAGAAATTGATGGCTAAACGTCTTAAATCACATTGCGAAAAAAATGGTATCTTTTTTACTTCTCAATATGGATTTAGAGACAAGTGTTCAACCCAACATGCAATTTTAGATATCTTAAGCAAAATTCAAACTAATATTGATGCAAAGTTATTCTCTTGTGGTATTTTTATTGACCTAAAAAAGGCATTTGATACGGTGGATCACTCAATCTTACTGCACAAATTATATCATTATGGAGTCAGAGGAATAATTAATAACTGGTTCTCTTCGTACTTGTTGAACAGGAACCAGTCGACTCAAATTGGTTCAACCGTATCGAATATAGAAGAGATAGTTTGTGGTGTCCCTCAAGGGTCTGTACTTGGCCCCCTTCTCTTTTTGATTTATGTTAACGACATTTACCGTTGCTCCCAGATTTTTGAGTTTTACCTATTTGCTGACGATACTAACTTGCTTTATTCAAACAAAGATCTTAAGGATCTTGAAAAAGTTGTTAATGATGAACTCGCAAAAGTGGGTGACTGGTTGGACGCAAACAAACTTTCTCTTAACACTAGTAAATCTAACTTTGTTATTTTCCATCCTTACCAACGCAAATTGGACTACATAGTTCACTTGAAAATTTATAATAACGATCTTAAAAAAAGTGTATCTCTAGA